GCCAGCTTGGAGACAAAGGTAAGATCAGACTGTGGAAACCCATGGTGATATAGCTGGAGGGAGAGCATGGAGTGAGTTTGGCCTGGAACCCTAGGGGCTAGAGAGTATCTATAGACCCAATGGAAGTAAAAGGGGCATGTTTCTCTCACCCCAACCTTCCTACAGCAGTGCCCAGTGCCTGACTGAGAGAGGGCAGGTGCCATACTGGACATAAGTGGCAGCTGTGGAAGCCCTTGTGTGTGCCCATAGAAATTGGCTAGGACAGGACATCATCTTCTCAGCAGTACTGGTGGCAGTGGTGGGGGAGGACAACATTTGGCCAGTGGCTTTTGTGTATGCCTGTGAGCCAGAGATTCTAGCAGAGGGGAAAATCTGCATTCCCCACTGACTTTGAGCCTGGCTAGGATGATTGAGAGGGGGCTGGGCAACTACATAAGACTGTGAGACATCTTTAGCCTCCCAACTTTAGCCTCTCAACCACAGGCTCTGGAGCTCAAGCCACCTAGGCAGAGCACTCACAGACAGCTGGCTCAGGGAACACCTGCCTCTCTGTGGTCCAGACAGATTGGTGGGATGGAGAAGACCCGGTGCACCCAGAGACTGAGGGGGCCTTGTGTGCTGAGACTGTGGGGACTCAGTGGCTGCATGAGAAGGCACAGGGATTAGCTGGGTCTCTGGGCAACCACTGTGTATGGCTCCACACACTCAGCTCCCTGGTTGCCTAGAATAGTCATTGCAGCAGGATCTGTGCTTGGAATGAGGATAGCACAGATCATTTGTGTGGTTCACATGGCAGTGTGGATGAAGGTTGAACCACCGAGGGATAACACCTGGACATTGATTATTTTGTAGCATAGAGGTAAGGGTGTGATCATACCAACAGATGTGATAATTCTGCCCCCACTTCTGTTAACAAGAGCAGATCTACCATGCGCAACCTGGGTGTTACTCTGGATACTTGCCACACCCTGGAGCACTGACCAGAGGCCCCTGGCCATAACCAGCACACACCTCTTGGTATTCACTGAAAGTGCAGATGTTCCACTAAGCCACAGAGGCATAGTTCAAGATAAAAGCCATCAGAGGAAAAAAATCAAGTATCTCCCCAAATGCCCAAAAATAAACACAGACATTCAAGAAACAAGAATAAGGAAGACAATATGATCCTGCCCATGAGAACATGACAACATTTCACTCTCACCATTGCTGTTTAATATAGTCCTAGAAGATTAGACAGAACCATTAGGCAAGCTAAAGAAATCAAGGCAACTGGAAAGGAGAAAATCAAACTACCCTATTTGCAGATGACATTATTCTTTATATCTGAAACATTCCACTAAGAGACTATTGGTAGTCATAAAAGAGTTTGATAAAGTGTCAGGATATAAAATTAACACACAAAAATAAATAGGCTTTGTATAAACAGACAATGCCATGCCTGAGAAAGGACTTTTAAAATCATTCCCATTCACATTAGGTAAAAAAATTAAACACATTGGAATAAATTTAACCAAAGATGTCAAAGATCTATGTGAAGAAAATTACAAAACATTAAAGAAAGAAAGAGAAGAAATTAAGAAATGGAAAAAAATCTTCCATATTCATGGATTGGAAGAATCAATATTATCAAAATGTCTATACTACCAGAAGCAATTTACAGATTGGATGTGATCACAATCAACATACCAACAACATTCTTCGCAGATCTGGAAAAAATGATGCTGAAATTCATATGGAGGAAGAGGAGACCTTGAATAGCTAAAGCAATCTTATAGAACAAAAACAAAGCTGGAGGCATCACAATACCCAATTTTAAGACATATTACAAGGCAGTTATAATAAAAACATCCTGGCACAAGTACAAAAATAGATGGATAGACAAATGGAACAGAATAGAAGCAGCAGAAATAAATCCAAACATCTACAACCAACTTATAGTTGACTGTGGAGCTAAAACCAATCCCTTGAGCAAGGACAGTCTTCAACAAATGCTACTGGGAAAACTGGATTTCCATATACAGAAGTATGAAGCAAGACCCCTACATTACACCTTACACAAAAATCCATTCAAAATGGATTACAGCCCTAAATCTGTGACCCGATACCATCAAATTGTTCAGGAACATTGGGAAACCCTGCAAGACTTTGGTATAGGCAAAGACTTGTTAGTAAAGACCCTGGAGGTACAGGCAATCAAAAGTAAAATTCACAAGTGGGACTACATCAAATTTAGAAGCTCTGTACTGCAAAAGAAACACTCAGGAAAGGGAAGAGGCAACTGACATAATGACAGAAATTATTTGCAAACTATGCAACAGATAAAGAATTCATAACCAGAATATATAAAGAGATAAATATACTCCACAACAACAAAACAGAGAACATAGTTAAGAGATGGGCAAAAAGACATTTTTCAAAAGAGGAAATCCAAATTGCCAACAGACACAAGAAAAAATGTTCAGTATCACTAGATGTCAGGGAAATGCAAATCAAAACCACAATGAGGTTTCACATCATCCCAGTTAGAATGGCTTTCATACAGAAATCAACAAACAACAAATGCTGGTGAGGATGTGGGGAAAAAGGTACCCTAATTCACTGTTGATGGGAGTGTAAACTGTTAAAATCATTATGGAAGATAGTTTGGAGATACCTCAAAAATCTGAATATAGACCTACCTTATGACCCAGCCATCCCACCCCTGGAAATTTGCCCAAGGGAAATAAAATCAGCAAATAAAAGTGTTATCTGTACCCCCATGTTTATTGCAGCTCAATTTACAATAGCTAAGACATGGAATCAACATAAATGACCATCAACTGAAGACTGGATAAAGAAACTGTGGGATACGTACTTTATGGAATACTACACAGTGTTAAAAAACGATATCCAGTCATTTGCAACAATATGAATGAATCTGGAAAACGTCATACTTAGTGAAACAAGCCAGTCCCAAAGGGCAAATACCATATTTTCTCTCTGATCTGTGGTAACTAATACAGCACCTGAAAGTCAATTTGTAGAAGTCAAATTGACACTTTGGAAAACAGTGACTTGAACAGCCCTTGTCTTGACTCTCTGGGAACAGTTTTTTTTCTTTTCTCTTCTTCATACTTATTGTTGAATTCTTTACTTAACATAGAGTTAATCATATGTGTATAAAGTCAACTTAAAAAATATCGAAGTAAAAAATAAGAGTGGGAGTAAGGGAGGATGAATTTGTTACTATAAAGCTGTATAGTTCTGCATACATTGCTATAGACTCACATCTTAGGTTACAGTTTAAAAACTTGCCATGGGACCCCAAATCCCATTAAGCTGAGTGAAAAACATGCCATATTAACTGTTTTTTTTTTTTTTTTGACAGGCAGAGTGGACAGTGAGAGAGAGAGACAGAGAGAAAGGTCTTCCTTTGCCGTTGGTTCACCCTCCAATGGCCGCCGCTGCAGCCGGCGCACCGCGCTGATCCGATGGCAGGAGCCAGGAGCCAGGTGCTTTTCCTGGTCTCCCATGGGGTGCAGGGCCCAAGCACCTGGGCCATCCTCCACTGCACTCCCTGGCCATAGCAGAGAGCTGGCCTGGAAGAGGGGCAATCGGGACAGAATCCGGCGCCCCAACCGGGACTAGAACCCGGTGTGCCGGCGCCGCAAGGTGGAGGATTAGCCTATTGAGCCACGGCGCCGGCTCTACCATATTAACTGTTAAAGTGACCATATTATGTGTTAAAGTGGTCAGATAGGTAGGATTAAGTGTTAAACGGATCATGTAAATAAGATCAAGGGTCTGGTAATAATAATAGATAGAATTAAAAAGGAGAGACTGTTCTAACATGGCAAACACACCACACAGCAGACTCATAGAATGACAATCATTCTAAACAGCGCTTTGACCTCAGAATCATCCCTTAAGGCATTCTGGTCTGGCTGAAAAGCCCATGAGAGCATTTTAGGCACAGAAAGCCAAGACACTGTGGCAAAACTGTCCTGCATGAAGGGTCTCTGTGAGTGAGACCCCAGGGGAATGAAGTGGCCATTGAAGAAGGATGTACTTTTCTTTGAAGGGAGGAGAGGACTTCTACTTTGCTTATGGCCTTTTCTAAATATCGAAGGAATTTGTGGACTCAAAAGGATTCCATAGCCTTGGCAACTCATTTTAAGATACTCGGGTGATCACTGATGTCATACATAAGGTTGTTAACTGTTAAATTAAAAAAAGGAGTCACTGTGCACTTACTGTCCATGCAGGACCTCTGCCCTCAATGAGTTGTATTATGAGTATTAACTGTAAAACTTGTTCTTAGTTTTTTTTTTTTTTTTGGTGTATGTGCAAATTGTTGAAATCTTTACTTAGTATAGACTCAGTATTCTGTGTATAAAAAAATTCTCTTGGAGAAAAATAAAGTTAATTATGTTTCTAAAAAAAGTGAAATTTGCTTCAAGATACAATGACTTTGAATAGCTCTTGTCTCCACTATTGGGGAATAGCTTTTTTTTTTTTTTTTTTTTTTTATTTTGTTTATGGTTTTTTTCCCATGCAAATTTTTGAACTCTTTACTTAGTATAATCTTCTGTGTATAAAGTTAATTGAAAATTGATCATAGTAGAGAAATAGACTTGGGATGGGAGAGGGAGGAGAATGAGGAGTGAGAGAGTGGGTGGAAGGGTAGGTATGGTGAGAGGAATCATTATATTCCTTAAGTTGTACTTATGAAATGCATGAAGTCTGTATTAAATAAAAGGTTTCTTTGGGGCAGAAAAATAAATTAAAAATAAATAAAAAAAACAGATTATTTGGGATTGCATTTAGGCCGCATGCTGTTATTTAAATCACCTATGTCATTAGCAATTTTTTTAAACTTAGGAAAATGCAGTTATTACTATGGCTTCATTTAGTTAATTCTATATTTGATAAAATACTCTCATTATATACTTACATACAGGCGTATTGATAAGATTACTTACAGAGAAAGTGAATATTTCCCTTTAACATTAAAATTATACTTGTTTCACACTGAATGGCAATGCTTGAAAGCATTTTGGAAGACAATGTTCTTAACTGTGAGAGTTTATTGCATTTTTCCATCCTCTTTTTTTTTGAGTGTTAAGTATTCTTGCTTGGAGTTTTAAGTTCTACCTTCCCTCTTATCATCAATAGGACTTTCAGCATATAAACTTGAATGGCTAACATCAACAGCATCACCCCCAAATTAACCGTAGTCCAGAAATTGACTTATCAAAATTAGTTTCTTGTATGTTTCTTGTATGAGAGCTTCAAATGCTCTCAGCAGAGTTTGAATATGGTCACTTTTGCTTAGTCTGGACTTGATGCTATTAGTGGATTCCTGGGTATCTTCCAGTTTCATGCCTAGCATTTCTGTGCTGATAATATATTTCTTCCAATCTTCTTGTTCTTGTGCCTGTTCTCCCATATTATCAAGGATTAATTCAAAGAAAACCACCTTCTCAGAAGTAGTGCTAAATGTATTGTCAAAGTAGAACCATGTAGTCACCATCTTCCATCTCTACAGTGTGAACTGCATCTGATTTTCTTTGTTCAAAAACTAAGGTTTTGCCTTCTGGAGAGGCAAGATGAAAATAGGTATCTTGTAGTACTTCATCTAAAACTTGGTACTTGATCTCTGGCGAGGCCCTTAGCAGTATAGGCTGGTAGAAACACTCCTTCTGGTCAGTTGGAAGGGTAAAGATGAAGTCACAGTCTAAGGATGGAGTAAAGCCTGCCACCCCTGGCAGGACAGCCAAATCTTGTTGCCTATGCCTACTGGGCAATCCTGGGCTGGACAAGTGTAGGATACTGGTGCCTCTGCTCAGCTTTTCCTCCCTGGATTCCTCCTCTTGGTTGGCAGAGAAACCTGGAGTCCCTTAGAAATTCGGGTGGCCACTGCCAGTGACAAATGCTCTCTCTCAATATATTTCTAACATTTAATAGATTTCCTTCAGAGGAAGATCAAAGTATTGATTTTAGTATTGCATGCTTTTGGATGTATCACACTACCTTCTTCATGTTTCCTGTTTTCTTATGTTGACATCTGCATATCTGGTGTAATAGTCCTTTCTTTGTGGTATAGGTTTTTATTGGAAAGGAGTTTATAGTTTAGATGGAATGCAAGGCATCACTTGGCTTGTTGCTTCAGCTTTGGTTCTAGGTGAAACCAGAAGTATAACCTTTGAGTAATTTCTTTTGTTTTAGTCAACATCAGCTGTATCTACAGCAGTTTGTAGGGTGAGAAGTTTAATTCTGAGGTGAATGTGGACTTCCCAGGATATTTATCTTCATTCCCCAGGGAAATCCTTGTCAGTTACATTGGAGATTGTGATAGCCAGGGTCTTGTTCTTGGCCCTGAGGGACACAAAGTGGACTGCTACCCCTTTCCATTGGAAAACCTGAGTGATTCTCGGGCTTGTGGGCCAATAATTGTAGCTCTAGGAAGGTCTGATGTGGATGGGCCCTTCCTTAGGCCCTGCTGGACAGTGCAACTAGTGCTGAAGCATATAACACCAACAGCCTTAGTCCCAGGACTGGAAGATGTAAACAGAATTCTGCTTGGGCCCTACAGGGTAACTGCAAGATATGTAGTAGCTTTTGCACTTCAGGTATGGTTCTAGAGAGGTGGACTATAGGAATGTAGCTCTGCAGGTCCCACTATCCACTGGGTTTTAGGAAATTAGTACTTATTGTTAAAGTCCTGGCATTGTAGGGTAGGGTACAGTGAGGTTATTACCTAGATCTTACAGAGTGGTAGTGGAGTGTTGACGATAAACCACCTATCTGAGCAGAGCAATGCAAATAGAGCACTTCTGTATCCAAAAAAAAAAAAAATTACAAAAAATCAGCCAAATGAGGAGCTGGTTTAAAAAAAAATAAACAAAATTGACACACCATTGGCCAAACTAACTAAAAAAAGAAGAGAAAAGACCTAAATCAATAAAATCAGAGATGAAAAAGGAAATGTAACCACAGACACCACAGAAATAAAAAGAATCATCAGAAATTACTACAAGGACTTGTATGCCAGCAAACAGGGAAATCTATCAGAAATGGATAGATTCCTGGACACATGCAACCTACCTAAATTGAACCAGGAAGACATAGAAAACCTAAACAGACCCATAACTGAGACAGAAATTGAAACAGTAATAAAGTCCCTTCCAACAAAGAAAAGCCCAGGACCAGAAGGATTCACTGCTGAATTCTACCAGACATTTAAAGAAGAACTGACTCCAATTCTTCTCAAACTATTCAAACAATCGAAAAAGAGGGAATCCTCACAAATTCTTTCTATGAAGCCAGCATCACCTTAATTCCTAAGCCGGAAAAAGATGCAGCATTGAAAGAGAATTACAGGCCAATATCCCTGATTGACATACACGCAAAAATGCTCAATAAAATTCTGGCCAATAGAATGCAGCAACACATCAGAAAGATCATCCACCCAGACCAAGTGGGATTTATCCCTGGTATGCAGGGATGGTTCAATGCTCACAAAACAATCAGTGTGATACACCACATTAACAGACTGCAGAAGAAAAATGATGTGATTATCTCAATAGATGCAGAGAAAGCATTTGATAAAATACAACACGCTTTCATGATGAAAACTCTAAGCAAACTGGGTGTGGAAGGAACATTCCTCAATACAATCAAAGCAATTTATGAAAAGCCCACGGCCAACATCCTATTGAATGGGGAAAAGTTGGAAGCATTTCCACTGAGATCTGGTACCAGACAGGGATGCCCACTCTCACCACTGCTATTCAATATAGTTCTGGAAGTTTTAGCCAGAGCTATTAGGCAAGAAAAAGAAATTAATGGAATACACATTGGGAAGCAAGAAGTCAAACTATCCCTCTTTGCAGATGATATGATTGTTTATTTAGGGGACACAAAGAACTCTACTAAGAGACTATTGGAACTCATAGAAGAGTTTGGCAAAGTAGCAGGATATAAAATCAGAGCACAAAAATCAACAGCCTTTGTATACACAGGCAATGCCACGGCTGAGGAAGAACTTCTAAGATCAATCCCATTCACAATAGCTACAAAAACAATCAAATACCTTGGAATAAACTTAACCAAGGAAGTTAAGGATCTCTACGATGAAAATTACAAAACCTTAAAGAAAGAAATAGAAGAGGATACCAAAACATGGAAAAATCTTCCATGCTCATGGATTGGAAGAATCAATATCATCAAAATGTCCATTCTCCCAAAAGCAATTTATACATTCAATGCAATACCAATCAAGATACCGAAGACCTTCTTCTCAGATCTGGAAAAAATGATGCTGAAATTCATATGGAGATGCAGGAGACCTCGAATAGCTAAAGCAATCTTGTACAACAAAAACAAAGCCAGAGGCATCACAATACCAGATTTCAGGACATACTACAGGGCAGTTGTTATCAAAACAGCATGGTACTGGTACAGAAACAGATGGATAGACCAATGGAACAGAATAGAAACACCAGAAATCAATCCAAACATCTACAGCCAACTTATATTTGATCAAGGAACCAAAACCAATTCCTGGAGTAAGGAAAGTCTATTCAATAAATGGTGCTGGGAAAATTGGATTTCGACGTGCAGAATCATGAAGCAAGACCCATACCTTTCACCTTACACAAAAATTCACTCAACATGGATTAAAGACTTAAATCTACAACCTGACACCATCAAATTATTAGAGAGCATTGGAGAAACCCTGCAAGATATAGGTACCGGCAAAGACTTCCTAGAAAAGACCCTGGAGGCACAGACAGTCAAAGCCAAAATTAACTATTGGGATTGCATCAAATTGAGAAGTTTCTGTACTGCAAAAGAAACAGTCAGGAGAGTGAAGAGACAACGGACAGAATGGGAAAAAATATCTGCAAACTATGCAATAGATAAAAGGTTGATAACCAGAATCTACAAAGAAATCAAGAAACTCCACAACATCAAAACAAACAACCCACTTAAGAGATGGGCCAAGGACCTCAATAGACATTTTTCAAAAGAGGAAATCCAAATGAATTACTCTGAAGATTATAATACCAACATCAATAGTCCCAGTTCCACCAGGCACAGATAAAAATTCTCCCAATGTTAACAAGGCATACAAGAGTGTTGCTGAGTTTTGTGCCTGGGTCTCCCAGCAGCATGAACAGAAGGAATGTCTTCAGTTTGGGTTGGGAAGTTTTTTGTAAGCTGCTGCTGGCATCAGCTCCCAAAAGTTGAATGGAAACCCCCTGGATCAATAGAGGGACAGTGTCCAAAACTCATAGTTTCAGGATGCGGGGGGTCTTCTCTCTGCCCCACAATTTTCCCTGACTCTGGCTCTAATAGCTTCTGGTATTTGTAGAACAGAAATCAGCTGCATGGCTTTACACAGCCAATTTAGTCTGGTACCTTACAGGGGTGGTCAAGGAAAGGGAGGCAAAGCAGCTCTTCTTTTTGGAATGAAGTAGTTGCTCAGATCCCAGTCAGCTCCCCAGGCTGGAGTTAAAATTAGTGAAGGACTGTGGAATTCCCCCTCAGTTAAAGCTGCTGGTGGGTAGGGCATGAGGCAACTTCTTCCTACAGTGAGAGAGAGAGACAGAGAGAAAGGTCTTCCTTTTGCCATTGGTTCACTCTCCAATGGCCGCTGCGGACGGCGCGCTTCGGCTGGCGTACTACGCTGATCCGATCAGGTGCTTCTCCTGGTCTCCCAAGGAGTGCAGGGCCCAAGGACTCGGGCCATCTTCCACTGCACTCCCTGACCACAGCAGAGAGCTGGCCTGGAAGAGGGGCAACCGGGACAGAATCCGGTGCCCCGATTGGGACTAGAACCTGGTGTGCCGGCGCCGCAAGGCGGAGGATTAGCCTAGTGAGCCGCGGCGCCGGCCCACTTCTTCCTACTTTGACATTGAAGATGGTGACTCCCAAATGGAAGTTGGCTGCACCAGTCATTCGTAGCAGTGTGTCTGCCCTCCTTCTTCACTGTCCCACAGAGACTCTGTTCTGTCATTTCTCTACTGATACATAATATTTATTTTGAG